GGAACTGTTGCTGTCTGCCACTTTAAAGGCAAAGTCAAGCAGCCAGCAGGTGCTTGGTTGTGGCAGCCATTTTAGATTCCAGGCTGCCTATATAAACAGAGCAGTTAGCTGCTGGCAGGCCAGGCAATAACATTGCTTGGCTGCAAGGCTCCATGCAACATCCTGGAGGTAAGTGCAGGAGCTGTAGGGGATGGTTTGAAGGCTCCTGGTCCTGGGCATGACCTAAAACTGCACCCTGCTGGGAGTGGGTGACCTGGTGGGGCTCTCAGTGGTGTGGGAGCCCCCAGGAAATGCCAGGCCAGTTACCACCCTGGTGAAAGGTGAGTAGGGGCACCTTAACCTCAGCCCTCACCTTCAGGTGGGCCATTAGTACCGTCAGAGCAGGGTAGGCCAGGTAAGCTTCTGGAGGCACCTGAGCCTGCTGGGGGAGTGACCCTGCAAGGCCAGCCATGCTTCTGGGAGCACCTGAGCTGGGAATGGGGACCCCAATCCCTAAGTGCAGGCAGGAGGCATAAACCCAACTGGGACTTGACTGGTCAATGCTGGGGCTAGGACCAGAAGGGTCAAAAGGGCCAGGGGCCCACCGTGAGGGATGCCCATGATAAGCAAAGAAGCTCAGGGTCCCAACTGGCCTGAGACAGGGCCAGGGCTTATGGAAGCTGAAGGTCCCATGAGTGGGTCTGCAGCTAATGGGTGAAGGGGTCAGTTGAGCCAACTGTGTGAGATGCCATCTGTGAGGCTTGGGCCATGGTGTAGGGATGGAACGGAGCTGTGGATAGCCCCCCCTCAATATCGAGGTGTAAAACGGGTAGCTTCCTGCCTAATTAACACTCAATTATGTTCCATCAAGGCGTGGCAGGTGAGATAGGTGGGTGGCGTGCCCAGAGGCAGGTGGGGAAACTAGCCCTGTGGCTAGTTGGCGACCCCCACTTTGCCACACATGAACAATTAGCCCCCCCCACCAATTATTTTTCTCCCTCCACCCCCAGCTTCCTGGTCAGTGATTGGCTGCTGGGGCCCCCCCCTCCCCCAGTTGGCAATCGGTTGCTGGTGCCCACCCCCAGTATTAGGAGGCACCAGTCGCCCATGGTGCCAAATGAGCTGCCCAAGTTGCAATGCTCCAGTGGTGCAAGCACCTACTCTGGACTCCTTTTAAGAAGCGTATAGATGCTTACCTTGCTGGGATCCTTTGACCCCAGCTGACTTCCTGCACTTGGGGCATGTGGCTGGACTCTATGATCTCCTGAGGTCCCTTCCAGCCCTAATGTCTATGAAATCTATGAAATCCCAGGATGCACTGTCCTCTCCCTGACCCTCCTGTTCTGTGTGGACAGACTTTTCATCCCCTGAACTCTATTGCCCAGGGGGTAGTTCTGGTACCAAGCCAACTGTCCCTCCTGCACCCAGGGGTGTGACCTTCCCACCCCCTGTGCAAACTGCCTGCAGAGCACACGCAAGCTAATCAGGGCACGGATGGTTCTACATCCCACATTAATGGAACATGAGCTGGATAACATGGATCAGAGAGAAACCTGCCCTGGAGAGGCATAACTTTTAAATTGCTTAAAGTATGCTTAAAACTAATTTCAGGTGTTAACGAGCGGACAATCCAGGGGGTACGAGCTCTAGGAGCCACCTCAAATTAATGTGTAAGAAGGCCCTGAGTGTTTTCAGTAGGACGATTTGGATTGAAGTGATGTTGAGGAATGGAAGAAGGAGGGGACAAAAAAGAGTAGGGAAGGAGCAAAAGTGGGATTTAGTAGATGCAGAGGAATGAGAGAAGTGGGAAGAAGATGGGCCAGTTGCAAACAGTGATTCACAGGAAATAACATATGTGAGTCCTGGTTTTAGAACTGAATGAATACAGTAATGGTGGGAGGTTCTAGCCCACTGCTGAGAGAGCAAATTGGAGGCTTATACTCTGCAAAGTCAGCTTCAGTCTATGCTGTACTGTTTGGGGATGGATCCCTCATGAGTCTGGGGCTTTTCAAAGCTTTTCTCCTGCAAGCTCTCTGAAAGTTGTTGCTTCCCTAGATATACCCTTGTATACCAAGAACTACCCTAGATATGCCCTTGTTCAAATGGCTACTGGTGAAGTGGAGGGGAAACTGTTAGGCTGGGATGTGCTCACCAGTCCTGAATAACCAGTATAATAGGTTAGCCAAACCTATTTCATAGGACTTTGCATCTCCATACATGAAGTGACCAGCTTTATGCTGGAAACTCTACAAGGCAGAGGAAGGAGCCAGGCTGTCAGACTGTCCAGGAAATCCACAGTACCTGTTTTTCCATCACATGTGACTGATTGCCAAAGCATCCAGAAAGCACTGTATTCACTGATTATCAGAGATCCTACAGGTTCATCTGCCATGAAAAAACATGGAAAAATGGAGAATTGGTGTTTTTCAGAGAATCTTTAGAATTGCTGGGGAAAAAAAAGAAACTTTCTGAAAATAAAAAGCTGGCTCCCCAGTGGGGACCAGCAGTTCATATGGCCACTGTGGCAGCCCATTAGGGGGCAAACCTGCCAGGACACAGGAAAGCAGCCAGGATGTCAGATGCCCCTCCTCCCTCCACCGCTGATTGGCCAAAAGGGCTACCCATTGTATAGTCCTGCCCCACTCCAGCAAGCAGTAGCAAGGGTCAGGGCTGCATGAATGGCAGCCCTCTTGACCAGTCAGCAGTGAGGAGTGGTGCTGAATCAGCATGGGGAAGGGGCTCACCACCACTGATTTTTATGAGGTTTTTATTGGAGAATGTTGGGGGTTTTTTTAACATGGAAAACTCAGATCCCTGTTGATTGACAACTGCCTTTCTCAGCCACCTCATAGGTCCTCTACATACTCCCTTACATAGTCTGCCCGCACTTCTCGGAGGCAAGGTAAACAGCAGATTAAGCAGAAGTTCAGCTTTCATGGATGTGCATTAACATGTAATATGCATTTTTAATATGTATTGCAATATGTAATTAAGCATGCACATTTAAATGTAACAAGGGTCCATGAAGCATGAAGTTCCAAGAGAAGAAGTGTATGAGGCCTTGCCCAGGATGGTGTATGAAGCTGTTTGCTGCATTCCTGGAGCAGAAGTGACATATGCTTCAGCGGTCCTGGACACGTTCAGGATGTTTCTTCAATATAATTCCCTTTTCTTAATTTTCTTAATGAAATGTGTTTAAAGAAGTTCAGTGGGTTAATGCATAGAAAAACAGTGCTTTGTGAAACGGGCAGTAAAACACATTGTACCTGCAATTGCTTGCTATAAAATATTTCCCCCTTTAATCCTCGGAGTTGGAATTGTACACCTCATTCAGCATGACTGCATGTATATTTGCTGTTATGGAAACAAGGCAGCAGAATTCCCACTATTTCAGATGTGTTCAGGAAGGACCACAGCTTGGTATTGATTTATTTGTAGCACTCTTGATCAAGCCAAGTGGAGTTTGCAGAATATTAGCAATAAGACCTAATCTTAATAAAACAGTGCTTGACTACATGATGCTTCAGAAGCTGAGAAAATACTTTTTAACCATAATATAGAAGAGAAAATAGTTGCTAATTGAAGGGCTGCATTTGAATTTAAAAAAGAACGCCATTCAATCGCATCACATTACATCAAGTGCAGCATGCACTAAGCTATCTGACATCAGCTGGCTCAGTGAAAGCAGCCACACAGAGAAATACTGTATTTTCCTGCTAACCTTAAACATAAGTTTGTGAAGTCCTAGCTGATCTCTAGTGATTAGTTTTGGAAGTTGGCTGTAGGCTAGAGATAACTACCAGATCATCACACTTAAGTAACCTCTTCTAAAATGCTTCTTATTCTTTGCTGTAAAGTCTTATCTTCTTATCAGCTCATGCCATTTTTTTTCAAAGTGCATTTTCCAGAGTTTTAGTAGATACTAATGCTGCATTCACAAAAATAAACTACATGAGAAATACTCTTGGAACAAGGAAGAGGTAATATCGTAAAAGCAAAATAACTCACACTAGGGATGTCTTTGTTCTTGCCATCTTTACTGGAAGTTCCACTCAGCTGCTCAATAAAACTGTAATGTGTTAATTGTTCGGGTCCATCTTCTCCATAACGGCCATAGAGGCTGTGCTGGTACAAATCCAAGATTGACATGGGGTTCCCAATAAAGGACTTCCTTACACTATGTTCTTCTTGCTCAACTACAAAAGACATTTAAAAACACTGCACATTTGAGAGAAAGTTCATGTACAGCTTAAATGCACCATGATGTAATTTTTAATAGTAATGCAAATGTTTTAAAATAACTGGAAGTGGTTTGTAATAAGAGCATTAAAAACTCTGTGCAAGTTAAGAGTAAGATTTATAGCAAGAGGAAAAAAAAGAAATTTAGAATTAATACTTAACATTCAGTATGAGTTGCCACCCTTGAAGAATGTATAAGATAGCCATAAGTAATTTCCTTTCTTTTGTGACTGTAGATGAGATTGTTAATTGGACTTCAGAGTTGAGAGTTTTGTTTTATTTTAATTGTATCTTTTGGTTTAAATTTTTATTTCAATCTGTTAATAGCTTTCCGGTGCTAAATTCCACAGGCATGTGCCTATCTTTGGGTTGGTTTACTCTTGAAATTTCTCCTCCCCGCCCCAACTACATTTTTAGTTTTAGTAATCTTAAATCTTTTGGTAATTGATAAACTACAAATATGACGGTGTAAAATCTGTCTCAAGAAGAGCAAACACAGGATGGGATGACATGTCTTAGACCGTACAGGAAGTGAACAAGGAATAAAACCCAAGGTTTCAGACTTTCAGGCCTGGAATCCACGGTAAAAGCAAAGCCAAAAAACAAAGACAGAAAACCTCTATGATGTTATGGGACAGCAAAGGAGAAGTTGGCTCTAGATCAGGGGTGGGCAATTATTTTGGCTGGAGGGCCGCTTACTGAGTTTTGGCAAGCCATCGGGGGCCGCATGATAGGCAGCCAGGGGCAGATAAATATTAATTTTCTAAATTTTTTAGGGGCCCCGCAGGCTGGATAGGATGGCCTAGCGGGCTGCATCCGGCCCGTAGGCCGCATTTGGCCCACCCCTGCCTAGATGCAACACTTGCCTCCCTGCTAGTTCATACTGTTGCACAAACCTGAATTCTACCCAAAGCAACTACTGTATTTCCACGGCCTTTTCAAAAGCTATTGCCTCATCTAGATTAAACAAAGTCACAGTGATATTAAGCCCAGATGAGACTGGACTCAATGGTCAATGCCTGGGACTTGGGCAAAACCCCAGTTATGTCACATTCTGTGGATTACTGGGCCAGTTTATGAGAGCCTGATCCAGAGCCCATTGAACTGGTGTCAGTTTTTCTAGATGCTCTCTGCTTCAGGCCACTGTCCTCTTGGTGCTTCAGTTCCCTGCTTTTTAAGCGGTACTTAAAACTACCTCACAGGAGTATAGTGAAGACTGGTTCATTAATTTTTGTAAGACACTTAGAGAATAAAGTGATGGCACCATATAGCATGCAGGTAGTCTCTGTGCCTCGGTTTGCTCATGTGTAAAATGGATACCTCACACCTTCATTTGGATGATGTGGGCTAGGGACAGACATTCAAAAAGCCAGAGCCTAAATTGATTCAATCTTTGCAGGTTAATCTAACCCGCCTAGATTGAACCAATTTGCAAGTGAACAGACATTCAGAAAATGCAGGCACATGCTTGCAGTGGCTGAGGCTGAGGCCAGAAGTGCTAGAGCTGCAAGAAAGCTGCAGGGGGGGTGGGGGGTCATGGCCTGCACCAGCAGTAGCCTAAAGTGAACTGGCCAGGGTGGGGGTTTAATTCCGCCCCCCATCCCACCAGCAGAGACCTGAGCAGGGGTCCTCCTGCTGCTTGCCCTGTGCTGCAGCAGTGGTGGGGGCAGGGGCAGGGGCATGGTCAGAGGCCAGCCAGCATGGGCCCTGAGGTTTATTTCCCCCTCCACTCCTGGGGAACTGCAGCCCCAACTGCTGTTGCCATTGATTGCTCCCTGCATGAGGTGAGCAGTGGAATAAACTCCTTCCCTGCCGCCTCCACCAGATGCCGGAGGGAGTAGGGACATAATCCCCTTCCATGCCCCCTTGCCTAAGGAGCTCTGCTGGCCAGCCTCTGGTCACACCTCCGCCCCTGCTGCTGGAGTGGCAAGGGGTAAGGGACCCTGACAGGGGCAGCACCCCCTGTCATGGTTTCCCAGGGGTCACAAGCCTCTTCCTGGCAGGGGGCTGCGCTGTGGGCGGGAGCAGGGGGGGATGTTCAGAGCTGCCTCAGCCTGCACCAGGTGGGGCCTCGGGGAGCAATGGCCACCCCTCTGAGCCCTGGTGCCACTACTCACCCTGTGCAGCCTGCAGCAGCTCTGACAACCCTGCCTTGCTCCACTCCCACCCGCAGTGCAGCCCCCTGCTGGGAAGAGACTTGCGCCTCTGGGAAACTATGACAGAGGGTGCTGCCCTTGTCAGGGTCCCTCCCCTCTGCTTCAGCAGCACGGGCGCAGCCAGAGGCCAGCCAGCATGGCCCCCTTAGGCGAGGGGGCAGGGAGAGGGGTTATTTCCTCCTCCTGGCATCTGGCAGAGGGGGTAGGAAAGGAGCATATTCTGTCACTTGCCCTGCACAGGGAGTGATCGGTGGCGGTCAGGACTGGCAGAACCCAGCTGCAGTCTCCTGGGGGTAGAGGGGGTGGAGGGGGAATAAAATCCTCTCAGGGGCCATGCTGACCAGCATCTGGCTACACCCTGACCACTGGAGCAATGAGGGAAGAGAGCCAGGCCGACCCCGGTTAGGGTGTTCACTGGTGGACAGGAAGGGGGGAATTAAACCCTCTCTTTGGTCATGCCTCTGCTGGTGGAGCAGTGAGTGAGGAAATGCCTGGCAGGTCTGTGCTGGTGGGACCGGGGAGGGAGGAGGAATAAATCTCTTCCTTGTCCCCTTCACCTTAGGGGGTCTGGCATCTGGCCATGCCCCCACCCCAGCTCTGGCTAAGGAGCAGAGGGGCGAGGCCAACCCTGCTCTGCTGGAGCAGAGAGTACAGCCCCATCCTGGGCTGCAGAGCATGCTGGGATGCTGGGGGACTCTAGTTTAACTTAAACCAGGATGGGGTCTGGGACAGAAGTTCCATAAACCAGTTTGAGCTCAGTCAGTTAAGTCTGATACTACCTTTCGGCCATTTTGAAGCTGGTTTATACGCACTGAACTTATGTTCTGCTACAGGTTTAAACCAGTTTCTGATCACTTAAACTGGTTTATGTGTAACTTCTGTCCCTAGCTGTGAAGCCAAATCAGTTAATTTCCATTAAATCTGTTGAGATCTTTGGATGCAAAATGCAAATAATATTTACTAATATGATCTGGGCACCTGAATTTGACGTGATCAGAGCAGATACACTGGTCCTATAAAGGTATCATAGTAGTGAAATTTGGTTTTTTTATGTTTGCTCCAATCACAGACATCTTATTGCAGCCATTTTGGTTCTGTTAGTAGCCTAAAACCTAAATGGGCATATTCTGTGGAAGCCACATTTTAGTTAGTGGACCACTAAGGCACTTTGGTCTGGTAGCTTTGCTGTCATTTAAAGCAGATGCTCATGTATAATAACCAGGGAATCAGGTTTTCCATTTATCATGGAAAAATGCAGATTTTCTCCTTTAAAGGACAAAAATGTGGGAAACTATGGGTGTTGCCTT